TAGAAAACGAACAACTTTCTCATAGGTATTTCATAATATCGAATTGGGACAAAAAATACGTGATGATCGTTAGGTGTACACATAATACCAAATGTGTATAAAAATAATACACGAAGTCATTTCATTGTACAATAATATTTATTTATTTATATTTTGTCTCTATATTTAGTTTGTACTATTCCATACCTTTGTTGAAACGTATACAAAAATAAATATTCCCTGTAATCTTTTCCTTTGAAAAGAAATTCATAATAATTATTATCAATTAATTAGTCATTATTGCTTCATATATGCAAATGAATCACTGAAGAATGTTATTTTTCTCAGTAATCCAGTTGCAGGTCTTACAAGGCACGCAATAACCATATGCATGTGCTGAATAATATACAATACACGTCATATAAATTATACAGAAATCAAAATTTGTTATCAAATTACTTTCAGAATAATCATATTGTAATAATAATTCGACTATATAAAATAAATTATAAAGTCCTGTATATCTGACGTTACATAAAATTTTACTAATATATTTTGATGACGTTGGGTAACAAATTAAAATTATCGATATTCTGAGTACTTACATTTAAATAAATGCTGTTTTTTATTATAAAATAAATTATAACGTCCTGTATATCTGACATTACAGAAAATTTTACTAATATATTTTGATGACGTTGGGTAACAAATTAAAATTATCGATATTCTGAGTACTTACATTTAAATAAATGCTGTTTCTTATTAAGTTATTACGTAAATACTTATTATGCACAACAAAAATGATAAATAAAATTAGATTAAATAGAGAAATATTATGCCTTCAAAAATATGCTACTTTTTGGTGCATATGTACGGATTTTATCTTGGATGCATCAAGAGATAAATGATAAATATAAAGATATTAAGCTTTTGGGACTTTCCGAGTCACTTTTTAATTTCCTGGCCAGAAAACAACTTCGAAGTTACGAAAAAAAACAGTCAGTCAAAACAAAAGTTTTTAACTAGAATGAAAGAGAAAATTCCATTGCAATTTTACCCAAAAAAAATACTGCCATGGTATTTTCCGTCCATAAGTTAGGAGCTAAAAATTTCGTATTTTAAAATATTTGTTCAAATATTTGTCTCGAGTCTGAATTAGTATCTGCCATTAATTTTAAATTCAACTATGTCAACAGTTGAATCAATATGGATTTTTTGATTATTTAAAAAATTATATCTATCCAACCCAATACGACAACTAAAGTCATTTTTTATAAATAAATCCATTTGCATAATGTTATTCCAAGTTAACTATCTGTCGAATTACTAACAAATTGATGATAATTTAATGTGATAAACAACATATTACGTCTACCTCATAAAATTTAGTGCTGATGTTTGCAAGTTTGGTGTATTTTTATTTCATTAAAGCTTTAATAATTAATAATAAAACAATTAAATAGAGTCTTCAAAACACTTAAAATTTTATCAATTGTTTAAATATTAGATCAACATTTAGCGTAAAAAGATAATAATTAAATAACAATTTCAAGCTGATCAATTAATTATTTATCAGTTCGGTGATTAATTTATGAATTATATTTAATCAAGTGCAAAGTGGTATGGCATGTAATTTAATATGTTTTCGATAAGAATAAATTTGTTTTGCTTAAGAAAATACTTAAACACATTTTATAATGCTGATGGTACATATTAACAAATACCGATATCATAAAGATAGCAGACAAATATATTTGTTGACATTGATATACATTGTAGAGTACAGTGTAATTTATGTAATAACTAAATACTGAATGGAATATTTACGATGGATAAATGTTTAAAAATATCATAATTTTGTTCATAAAATACTGGAAACTTTTCTATCGCAAATACATGTGAAAGTTTCATTCAAGTATTCATCGCTATATAATTAACTTTATTTAATCAAGACGACCAAAATATCTTAATAAAGCTATTATTTCAAGATAACTTTGGTGTGACATTGTGTGTTGATACAGTTTCAATCCCAAAAGTTAGATATGAGAAATATTCCAGAACACTTTGGATAATTTGCATATGCAAAATTCGAGAATAAAGTATGTTTATTTTCTCTCTGAATTAACACATCGTAAGATAAAATATATAGTTGTATGTAAATATATATATATATATATATATATATATGATATTCAGTTTTCAGGGCAATACATCTATATATATATATATATATATATATATATATATATATATATAGTTGTTAAATCAACTACAACCTATTTCTGACCTCCTTTGTCTCAAGGGTATTTGATCATTTCTTTAAAAATAAAGAACCTTCAAATAATACTAATGAACGATATATGCATAAAGCGATAATGGTATCTTAGATCACAATAACACAATAATTACAAAGAAAATTACCACGAAAAACTTTTTTTTGATAAGAGCAGGTTCCCATTATCGTGGACGTTCATATTAAAATTACCTGTATATAGTTCGTACTAAATATTTTTACGGTTTCAGGCAATGACGCAAAACTTGTTGGTGCAAATGATTTGAAATTAGCATTTTTATTATTTTGCGTCAAAAATATTGAATAATTTACCTACTGACTACAACTCAATGTAGCTGAAAGCGTTATTTCAGATACTATGCAGTTTTTACTTTTCTACATGATATAAATTAATTCTTAAGATTATTTGAAATATTAATATTGCATGTCATACAAGCATTGCATGCAGTTTTTTAATACACGATGCAAATTACCATTTAATTATTATAATTAGTATTAAAATATTTGTATTACATAATGTACATGTATGCTTAAATGTGACTAACATTGTTATGTTGACAAAAATGATTAATTCTTATCACTTACAAAATTTTCTAATCTGTTGACAGTCTATTTGATATTTATATGAAATTTTCGATAGTATCTATTATTTATAATATCAAAGTTCAATGCAACGAAAGTATATATGTAGTAATCGACAGAAATCATTGATCTAAAAAAAAAATGTTCTGCAGACTAAAGATCCATGGTCGAACGGCTGACTTGGCGGAAAGTAATATAAATTCCCACTCTTCAGAATGTGTTCGCGCATTTTATTATTATGCTCTGTGAACCTTTTCGACGGCAGTTCATTCACCTGCCCGATGTACAGGTTACCGTATATGAAAAGAGCGTAAACTATATGCATATGCCCATGCCCTTATCAGAACAATTGGAAGAAAAAATATATAACACCTTGTTTGCAGTTTAAATAACTATGTAAAACTATCCTAAAGGTATCGCAATTTTGTAGACAATAATAAGTGTATACCTAAAGCAGACGCAAATATCCAATATTGCAAACTTCTTATAGAAAACCATTTACATTTATGGTAAATACAGACATCATCACATGTATAGACAAATTGATACAGATGTTTTATTTGACGAATAGAGAAGATAAAATGGACAGACAGCGTAATAAATGAAAAAGTCCTGAGAAGAGTGGTCAAAGAAAGTACTCTACTGAGCACGATCCTGAACAGGAAAGGACACTGGATCGGTCCAGTCTGCAAAAAAAGTGCCTTCTACAAGACGTCGTCGAAGGTAAAATAGAAAGTCTGAAAGAATTAGAAAGAAAAAGAATGCAGATGGTTGATGGCTTACTCAAGAAGAGAAAATACAGGGAACTGAAGCCGGAGCACAAGACCAGGAAGCATGGAAGCAGAAGTTTAGAAAGGAAAATGTATAAGAATGAAAATTAATATACTGAGTAGGCGTCCAATGATCACGTGAGGCTTTTCTTGGGAGGGGGGTCTGAAAAAAAATCACGAAAAATCACGTAGACGAGGGAGTGGTCTAGTAAGATATCACGTGTATTTATTTTTTACCAAAGATTTCAAAAAAAAAATCGTTTTTAAAAATTCGTTCGGAAAATTTTATGTAACTAAAAATACACGTGATGTTTGGTGGGGGAGGGGGGTAATTCTAAATATCACGACGTATCACCAAGTTGGGTTCAAAAATCCCTAAAAAATCGATCACGTGGTTAATGGACCCCTTATACAAATTATATAGTAGGTGCTATTTCTATTCAAGATTACTGGCTAAAACCTTAACAATTGTTCTAAACACTTTAAAATAATTATTAAAAATATTGTAATTTTTTCTTTGTTACAAAATCTAATACAACATAAGTGTTAGGGCGACGACTTTTATCTATGTTTATCTGCAAGAACGAACACATAGTCATTTCTCAGCTGCTGTTCTTTGGGGCCGTCCATTAATTTTTGTTTAATTGCTATATTTATTACAACTGCTGCATAATATAACATTTAGTAACATTAATGAACAATAATATAAATATAAACAAAAAGAGCACAAAATAAAGGTACAATTTCCATTAAAATGATATCCGTAGTATGCTGATTTAATATAAAATAAAAGCAAATAATAATAATAAAATTAATAAATAAAATGAATAAAATTTCTGAATAATAAAAATAATACTAGAAAAACAATAAAGTAGAATAGAAGCAATAAGTGACAGATAATAATAAATATAACAAAATAACAATATTAGAGAAATAATAACATGCCGTGCATAACGTGAGATTTTTAGGGGAAAGAGGGGTTTGACAAAAAAATCACAAAATATCACGTGGATGAGGAAGGGGTATAGTAAGATATCACGTGTATTTATTTTTTACTTGAATTGTTTTAAATTAATCCAAACAGATTCAAAAAAAATTGTAAAATACATTTTTTTCTTGTCACTAAAAATACACGTTAAATTTGGTGAAGAGTGGGGTAATTTTGAATATCATCACGTATCACCAAGGGGGAGGGGGGTCCAAAAATCCTTAAAAAATCGATCACGTGATCAATAGACGCCTCCTTTGCACTTTTTGCCCCGAATCTCTAACAAACAAATATCATTAAAAAACAGCACCATATCATTTTGACCTTAACCTATAATTAATGAATATAACTACATCCAATTTCTAATTCCATCTTCCCTCTATTACAGAAAAACAACAACCCAATCAACAATCCTCTGCCCATGCCCAACACAACCACGGCAATCAGGGTACCAACAAGCAGCAACAAAGGCGCGAAAGCTGTCCCTTCTGCAAAGAAGACAAAAGGCGGCCCTTGGGTGCTTACTTGAGGTCAAAGGGTACTTCCGACCACAAAGACAGCATAACAGAAGAAGAGGAAGAACAAAAACATGGTGAAGAAACCCAACAAACAAAACGAGACGAATAATCGAGAGAAAAGCTTGACGTCGCGAAAGAAAAGAGGAATTTGATGGAGTTAATGGAAAGCGCCTGGTCGGAGACGATGTCAAGGCTATTATATAATACGACGATGCATCTTTGTACAGAGGCGTTGCGATCATTAAATTTATTTTGATAATTGACCTCTATTAATCTGATTATTCCTGCAACCCATTTCCTTGCGTATTTGAAACTTAAATTCAAACCTAGTTTAACCGCAATTTAATTTATACTATATTGAAGCTATCAATTTTTGTCCTATGTTCTCGAAATTCGTCAATGCAATTTGTAATATCAGAAAAGAATTCACTATATCTTTGCTTTTTCGTTCTTAAAAAAAATATGAGGAAATGGTCGCAACGCTACCATTAAGATTTAAACATAATTAACAAACCATACAATGTACTTATTAGAATAAGCAAATTTTAAAAAGATTCATAGAATTCTCGAATGCTACCCTGCATACTATATTAAGAACTGCAGACTTGCATAATGTGTATGCAATTCAGCTGCAATTTATTACTAATTTAGCTTTAAAGATAATTGTATCTAAAAATTTATATCAATTATCAAAATATTATTTGATTTGTATTAAAAATTTCAACTTTATCTTGAGATTTCTATCGGCAATGTAGTCTGGGTACGTATAGAAAAGATAAACCAGACTTCATGGTTTTTAATGAATGTAAACAGATAAACTGTCTTTATGGTTTTTAAACTATTATGGTTTACCAAATAAGTCAAGTTACTTTTAGTTTGTATATAAAAGTAGAATGTGTAACTATTTATAAATAAATCTAACTTATTTATAAAATATAATAATTCGACATGTAATCGCATTTTCAAATTTCATAGCGATAAAAATTAAGTGACATCACTTTTTTGTATTTTTTATAATTATTGATATATATATAATTCATTTTGTATATAATTAAATTAAAATTCATAAGTTTATAAAATTATTAATATTTATCTATTAGACTGTTCTAAATAATTTATAAATTAATGATTAATATAATTATATTGTTAAATTTCAATAAGATACTAATTAAAATTTTAAAGCAATTTTACGTATGTTAAGTAAAAATTACATATACTCTATTGCTTGTGTTGACTAAAAATGTAATATTAAATTGTTAAAAATACAATAAATTCATTTACCACTAAACATATTATTAATTTATAATTACAAGAAAAAACTAAGCCAAATTACTTATTGAAACAAATATCCATCATAAATGGCCTGATGCCTCTGCAACTACAGTTGTGTCTATGTATCTAAATCTCTCAAGTTTAATAAATTTATATGTAAATAATTGTAAGAAACATTTTAAGATCTCACAGCATCCTAAATACACTTTATATGCATTTATTAAATATTAATTAATATTCAATATTAAAAAAAATCCAGGCTATCCTGTTGAGATTCTGTTATACTTTTTGTCTCATGTGACTAAGTTTCTATATTCATAAACAATTTATTTTAACAATGCACAATAGGTGTGAAACATTCTTTGCTCACAAAGTGGAAAATATAAAAGCATTGTTATTTCCAGTGTTGCAAAAATTGAATTTACTTGTGCAAATTGTATTATTTTCACATTTGTATAGAAAAATGCAAATATTATTTAGAAAAGTTCAATAATCTGCGGTACACTAACATCAATAAATAAGATAGAGCCTGACTAAGTCAAGAGTATAGTTGAATGATGTGACAATATTTACAAAAATGCATTAAGAAACTTGTTTTTTCAATTATTTGGATCAATATAATTATTTTGTTTACGTCGGCTTTTAAACGCACTGTAATGCAAATATGATCAGCCTGTAGCATATAGAAAACCTACAAAAGCAGTGCAATTTATTAAACGAGTTTCTGGCCTTCATGGTCGTAATGTAAAACGTAGTAATTTTTATAATATGCTGACAAAATAAAAAAAATCGACTATTAAGACATAATAATAAATGATTGTATTCCCGGAGACAGGTTCATTGTGTGAGAGCACCACAAATCAATGATTTTCCTTCCCTTCCTTCCTTAATTAAGACATTCTCAAAAAAAATTAATTATAAGTGTTTTTGGTTGAATAAATGTTATCAATATTACGGAAATTCAATAGATTTTTTTAAAAAATAACTACCCTTTTAACCTTAAATTTTGTGTCAATTATTGAAAAAAATATTCATAATATTTTGAGGCTACTGTGTAAAATAAGTAGTAAAAGTTACAGCTGTTTGACCATAATAATCCTCTTCTGTTTCCTTCATTTTGCAAAACTTAAAAAGCGATTTTCTCAAAACTGTCTGTTTCAATGCGATTTCCACCATTTCTTGAGCCGATTCACTTGAAATTTTCAGTGAATCTTATTTATAGACTTCTCTCTAGTATATACTAGCCTCATCCCCAAATTTCAATTCTTGCTATTTTTAAAGCTATTTTTAAATTGAGAAATAGTCCAGTTATTATAGTAAGTTCACCTCGGAATTCGAGATACCCAGCTGTAAGTCTGTATATACTTGTATTTTGCACCCTAAAAGTTGTCTCAAAACCTACAAATGTTACATACACACTACCATATATAGGTTTTAAAACAACTTTTAGGGTGCAAAATACAAGTATATACAGACTTACAGCTGGGTATCTCGAATTCCGAGATTCTTACCTAATTTAAGCTTAAATGACTGGACTAAAAATTAAAAAGGTGGTAAAAAATTATCTTTTTTGCAACAGTCGTCATTTGGTCGTATTATTTTATCGTAATTCTAGTATATGCCATTGGAACATAATTTTTCTTTCTTTTCGGTCTACTCTTTCTAGTCTAGTCTTTTTCATTTCGGACTACTAGAAGGGTTGCAATCGTGGCTACGGTCCCGTGCCAATTTTTTGAGACCCCACTTCAACAACTACTATTTTTTTATAATTTTGTTTTACTTTTTTTCAATACTCTTTGTTACGTTGATAAATGAATTATGAAAAAAATAATAGTGTTTAAAAAAATGTTTTTCCTTTTTTTAGGATGATTTAAAAATGACCTAAAATTGATGTCTCTACACTCCTGAATGCCTTCTTAATTGTTGTACCAATTAATACAATTAATAATTTTATGATTTATCTTTTCGTGCAAGTGTATCGTTGTACACTGCTTTTTTGAAAAAATAGACATTATATGAATTCATATAATTAAACAGAAAAATAACCATCTGTTTACATTTACATATAAAACATGTTATTTGTTATACAAATATCATACCATCATCAAAATAAAACTTATAAAAAAATCTGCGCATCAGCAAAGCTCGGGTAAATTTGCACCCGGCTCGGCGAATGTTCCGGAACAAATGGTGTCGTGCGCAAAACCAATCGGTGGCTAAACAAAACCAAAGCGCGCAGATCGTTTGCCACTGACTGGACGTAGAACGATTCAAACAGTTATATCAGTGATAAACAAGTTTTCGAAACAAATAGAATTAGTAAAAGTCGCATCCCTACCATCACTGCATCATACGACCGTGACGCAATAATACTACGACGCTTACATAGTCATTAAAATTAATATTCAAGAATCTTTCAAATTGCTGATTTCGGAGTCGGATTTGAAGAAGCTTGGAAATACACTTGGAATCAAGACTGAAGTTAAATTTTATTCACCTTTATAATTTATCCTTCGCCTCAGTCGTTTGCCCGCGATTGTAGCAAGAAAAGCGCTTGCGCGAGTTTTGTTATCGCCACTGCCGAGAAAACTGCGAACATCATGTGGAATAAATTGAAATTACCCGCCTGGCGCAAAAATGGACATAAAAATAGAGAAGGTATGTTCTAGAGTTAAATTACTACTATCATACAGTTATTTGAAAGTTGTGATAGAATTCAATCTTACTGCATTTCGTCGTGCTTTGGCGTTAATTATTATAGTTTATAAGTAATAGGTCACATATGCATGTGACCTGAAGATTCTGTACTGATGAGAAGGACGATCGATTTTAATTAAATAGTATTTTTTTGGTTTTTATTATATTTGAATGCTTTGTAGAATATACAAAATTAAACCATTTTTTGTTTATAAAGTTATTTTGCAATAGCATGCTCAGCAGGTTTACTGAATAAAAGTATAAAGTCGCTTAATGAATTCGGCGGTATGATAAAGACGATAGATTTCAATTAATTAGTTATTTTTTTGGTCTTACGATATTTTAATGGCCATATAGAATATACAAAATTTATGATTTTTGGTTTATAAAATATATATGCGATAAAATCATCAGAAATTCCATTCAATAACATTATAGAGTCACTTAATGAATTTGGCGGTATGACTAGGATTGATTTTAAATAAATGGTTATTTTTTGTCTGGCAGTATTTCAATGCCCTCATAAAATATACAAAATATATTCATGTTTGGTTGTTAAAATATAAATGCGATAAAATCATCAGAAGTACAGATAAAAATATAGAGTCGCTCAATGAATTTGGCGGTAAGACTAGGATTGATTTTAATTAAAAAGTTATTGTATTTGGTTTTATATTTGAATGACCATTATGATATACAAAATTTAACCATTTTTTGTTTGTAAAACTATTTTGCAATAGCATGGTCAGCAGTATCAGTGTATAAAAATATAGAGTCACGATTTCAATTAAATAGTTTTTTATTTCAGTCTTATAATATTTAAATGCCGTGTAAGACATACAAAATATATTTATTTTTGGTTTTTAAAAATGTTTTGCGATGAAATCCTCAGAAGTTCCAATAGATGTAATTATAAAGTTACTCAATGAATTTGGCGGTAATCTTATATTTTAATTCCATGTAGAATATACAAAGTTATTTTGCAATAGAATCCTCAGAAGTTCCAATAAATAAATAGAGTCGCTCAATATTCGGCAATATATCTTCATATTAAACAATGTAAGAGCAAAATTATGAAAATCTATTCTATCTCTAAACATTTATACAATTTTATCTTCTTATGCATTCTTTTGACTAGTGTGTATATTGATATTTTACGATATTTTATATATCATTTATTAGTTGCACAACAAACTAGTTCGTTTTATATGGTTAACATTAAATAATTTCCATTAGCAATAAGAAAATGAAATGTTGCCGCTATCTAGCGAAATATCGAACATCGGAATCTGGTTAATATTTACGCAATGAATTCTTGACACACTTTTTCCAAGAAGTTGCAGGAAATTGTGATAATAGTATATGGAAAAAATTTACAATAAGTGCATATGATAACAAATATATATATATATATATATATATATATATATATATATATATAAAACAAAATATTTATTTTCCTCAATGCATAAAAAGTTGTGAAAGTGGTCAATATTTTACCTACGCAGGTGTTTTTTCATTAAGTCGGTATTACGAAAAAGCTTAAACATTCTTGTAATCCGGATTAAAACGATTAGGCAAAATTCGCATGTTTATGTAATGTTTAATACGATCGTCCGCAATTTGTCAGACCCTTCTAAAATGATTTTCTAAAATCATAGAAAATAAAATTTATTTAGTACAACTTTTGCATACTGAATAAATTTGTAATTTGTAATAAATTTTATGTATTTCAAAGGCTAATTGTGAAATTATAAAATCTAAATTATGATTTAATTTATTTTTTTAATTTATAGAACCTAAATGCAAATGCACAAGGGGCACATGCAGAGGAGAAAATTGCAAATGTTCAACAGGAGGAACATGTTGCTGCAAACATCGTTATACTGTGACAAAAGTCCATGTGAAAATTGGATCTGATTTCCTGCTCTCATGAAAAATCAAGTTCAAAGAATAGACCATATTTTGGTATTATTGGGAACTCATTAAATCTCAAATATATATGATCTGAAAACTACGATAAGGTACTTTTGAAGTAAAAGTACAAAACTTATATATTAGTTACTTATAAATTATATTTATATTAGTAAATGTATAAGAAATTCGATAATATGTTTAGATTAATTAAAATGAACAAAAATACTTAAACACTTAGAAGGAATTGAATATCCAAAAATACTTAAATGTCTCAGACCGAAATATAATTTGAAAACTATATATGAAAATAATATATAGGGAGTATGAAAATCGAATATGATCATGACTTAACATATCTACAAATTTTATATCATAGTTTATACAAATTATAATTGCATAAAGAAATTAAAAAAATACATAAGAAGAATGAAAATGCATTTTATTTCATTCAGAAGGAACTGAAAGAAGACACTGTTCGTAAAATTATTTATAGTTTAAATTTTAAATAAAATGAGTAATGATGTATTTAAAATATTCCACAAAGATTTAAAAAAAATTGAACTAACAATCATATTCTGCAGTTAAATGTTGAATAAAATATAAAAATAAATATAATAATAAATATATATATATATATATATATATATACTATTTTATATATATTTATATATATAAGATATATATAAATCACTCACCCTTAACAGCCAAGTAAGAACAGATTCTCTATACGGCACAAATACTCCACTTTTGCGACAATCAGCTAGTGCCGCTATAACCTTCCCCAGTGTTAATAAAGACTTATTGATACTAACTCCTTCTTTGAGTCTTTCACCGCTTGCACATGTATGACTTAGTCTCTCACTTCCTGCTAAATCTACAAGACTGATTTTACTACGGATTCCTTGATTTTCTTCAGGCCCTGATATATTTAACACAACACTAAAAATACTGTGACTTCTTGAAGATTTATCATTCATTCCAGTGGCTGCAGTAGCTCTGCGACTGTTACCAACAGCTAACCACTTTCGAAGGTCAATATGACTATTCACAGCTTGCATACTTAGATCTACCACATATGGGCCGAGTTCTGGATGTTCTCTTACTTTAAGAGGTGCTCTATGACCATTGCTAGCCATATTCAGTGATAAAAGATCATGTATTTTTTCATTGTATATTTCAAAATAACTGACTTCTACAGTTGCATTAACATTTTTATCTAATCTTTCTATTCTAGAAAATAGCTCATGGCAAAAACGTGGTATGATGCCTGCTTCACTTGCACTACTATTTACATCATAATCTTCAGCGCCTGTATCAATACCCATCATGCTGTAAGTTTTACCTGATCCTGTCTGACCGTATGCAAAAAGACAAGCATTGTAACCTTCAAAGATTTTGTCAATCAAAGGCATAGCTAACCATTAAAAATAGTATGCTGATCTGCATAAAACGGGTGCTCTGGATCGCAAGACCAATACGCTTGATCATACTGAAAACTGTGACTAACTCCTCCTAAAGAATCAGCTGTGTTTCCGCCCAATACTGTTACTTCATCTTCATCTACCATTACTATATTAGTAATGGAAACAGTGTTTAATTCTTTTGTATTCATAGGGCGGACTCTTACTGCCACTGTAAGATTACTTATTTCATCTACGGTGTTGCTACTTTTTTGAGAACTTTTCATGCTATTTGGGGTTTCCATCACAACTTGATTAAAGCATTCTGGCGTTTGCATTAAAGAATTCACATTTTTGCAGCGCAATCTTGAGGGAGTACTTGAAGGTGTTGAATTACTTGAATAATGATTATTTAGTGGAGTAATGGCAGAAGGAATTGCACTCATTGATCTAGGTGTCTTTAAACGTTGCGGTGTACGATTACTAAAAAACAAATCAATTATATTATGTTTGGAAATGAGATTAATGTATTTAAAGTAAATAAGTACCTGTATTTGTAATTACTAACTGCAGAATCACTAATATTTTGTGTTTTCAGTGTCTTTGGTGTTTTTTGAGTTTCCAGTGATGTTCTAATAACTATATTATTTTGTTTATTGATACCATCAGCCCTATTTATAGAATCTTTGCAACTAATATCAAAGTTCTCCTTTGAACAAGGAGAATAGATTAATTTTCGGCTGGCCATTGCTACTATGTTTTTGATATGTCAATTCAAATTCAGTAAATTGTTGTCATTTTTAAACTTTTTTATAAAAATTAGAGCAGCACTAATTTAACTAGGAATAAAAATTAATAAATATAAAAAAATCCGTTAAAACACGTTGACAGTAGCTATCAGAATAGTTATCTGTCGCTTTTCATGCGAGAAAAGTATTGCCATAGTAGAATATATATCTTGGCTTCAGTTATTATGAAGTTGTCAACATGTCAGTATGGATTTAACGGATTTCTTCTGCCTGGTTGGTACAGATGCATTGATTATCGATGACAGTTGTAATTGAAGCAGAGCAGAATAAAAATGACAAATATGTACGTGTAACCAGTGTAACGTCATCATAAATGGCAAATATTTAAATTATTAGTCTTATATGTTTAAATGAATAGTACAAAATTAATGTAAAATAATTAGAAGTTATAATGTCTAAGCCCAAAACAAATATTTTGACAAAGCGTTCGTACAAAAATATAATTATTGGTTTAATATGTATTATCATATTCTTGAGTTTACCAGCCATATGCCAAGGTCATGGTCACTCTCACGATGAAAATCCTTCTTTCAAGTATTCCCGCGAAGCAAATGAAAGACATACACATGAACACCATCATTCACACGATCATCATCATCACACACAAGAAAAACCAAAAGTTAGCAACCAGCCCAGTAATTTAAGAACCAGTTCTGAAGTATGGATAAGTGCTCTAGGAGCAACTTTATTGATAAGCGCTGCACCATTCTTAATACTTTTTCTGGTACCTCTCGATAGTACAGCAGAGAAAAAACCTCTATTAAAAGTTCTTCTTGCATTTGGATCTGGAGGTTTACTAGGAGATGCTTTTCTGCATTTGATACCACATGCTCTGATGCCTCATGATCATTCTGATCACAGTCACTCACATTCACATGCACACACTCATGGTGATGGAAGTCATAAACACGATATGAGTGTTGGTATGTGGGTACTTGCAGGTATTATTACATTTCTTTCTGTTGAAAAATTAGTACGAATTCTGAAAGGAGGCCATGGACACTCTCACAATGCCTGTGTAGAAAAAACTAAAGATAAAAAACAAAAATCGCCACCTAAAGAACCTGAGATCAAAGTTGCAGGATATCTAAATCTTGCTGCTGATTTTACACATAATTTTACAGATGGATTAGCAATAGGAGCTTCCTATCTAGCTGGAAATAGTTTTGGCATGTTAACAACTATAACAATTTTACTTCATGAAGTACCTCATGAAATAGGCGACTTTGCTATTTTGATTCAATCAGGTTGCTCAAGGAAAAAGGCTATGTGTTTGCAATTAATAACAGCATTAGGTGCCTTGGCGGGGACTTCAATAGCTTTAATCTGCGGTGGAACAGCAGGTGCTGCTACATGGGTGTTACCATTTACTGCAGGAGGATTTATATATATTGCTACAGTTTCTGTGATACCTGAATTATTAGAAGGATCTACAAAATTGAAACAATCACTTAAAGAAATTTTTGGTTTATTATGTGGTGTGTACATGATGGTTTTAATTGCTCGATTTGAATGAGCAAGGAAATAAATCTTTATTTTAGGAACATGGTATGGTAGCAATTAAATATTGATTATGCATTTGAGTGTATGATCCATAAGACTGAAATTAGCATAATCTCTTTATTTTGTTCAAAACTAATCACATATTTTTAGTGCTCTTCTATGTAAACCAATATGAACCCATTTATCATTTAATGAATATTGAAAAACATTTATTTAAAAGTATCAAATATATTTGTTCAATAAATAGACTACATGATATTAGGCATTTTTCACTTTAATACTTTTTTTAATTCATTTAAACAATATGTTGCTTGACTTTCAATTTCATGATTCTTATTTCCATTTCCAAGTTTCCAAGCTTTTCCACATGCAGATTTCGCTTCTTCTAATAATCCTTGCTTCATGAAAACTATTCCTAGATTTGCATATATTGAACCAATTTCTTCCATCTCAGGTAATTTCATGCTGAGTTTAGCGGCACTTTTCAAATAATGCTCAGCATCTTTTAAGTTCCCTGTCTGCATTATTGGGTTGCAATTTTAATAAAAATATAATTTATATTACATATTTATTATTTTTTAAAGCTAATAACAACTCACATGAGAATTAACAGCTCCTAGATCATTAAGAAGTACAGCAGCTTGTTCTGTATCAGTCCCATGTATTGTAACATACGTATTGTAAGCTGCTAGAAGATGTTCATTTGCTTCTTGATAATTTCCTTTCTCAATTTGAAAATGAGCAAACCTATATAAAATATTATTCTATATAATACATAATGAAATTTCACTTTTTTGAGCATACCAGTATCGTGCCATTCCCCATAAACCTAAAACATCATTGTTTGCTTCTTTTAGTCCTGCTACATGTTTACTCAAACCCTTCAAAGCCCATTCAAAACCTAATTCTGCTTTATCTAATTCTTTTCGTAAGTAATAAATGCGAGCCAGTTTTAAACTTATGTGCAGCATCTTTATTATAAGTGTTACAGTTATGATATTTGATGCTTTGCAGTAAAAATTTTATATAACACAAAAATACCTTCAAATCATCTTGTGAAGTACCTTGCTGCAACAATTGTTGCATAACACTAACAAACAACTTTTCCGCTTTATCTAATTGGCCCTGATCTAGTGCTAAATTAGCCATTATATCATGTATATAAGTAACTCCTAATGTATTTTGTTTTTGTTGTGCCATACGTAATGCTACATGCAACATTTGTTCAGCCTTTGCAAGCTCATCTCTCTGTATACATAAAATTGATCTTTTAATGACCATGATCATTTCATCTTCTTCCTCAACTTCTGTTGAAAATCCAAGCCATGTGAAAATACTAGTACCGAGCATAATTAAGTAATTCCTGCTGTTGTTTGAATTTGTATATTCAGAAACATGACTGGTTTTAAGTTTACAGTTGCCATCATTGAATTTAAATTTAGTTTGCTGTTGTATGATTGCGTTTAAAGGTCTTCTTGGTACAGATTGGAACAAGTTGAAAGATTTTTTAATAAATCCACATTTGAGTAAATTTTGAATATGTGATACTGCCATTTTAATTTACCGAAAATAATAAAAACTATACTTTTGTTTTAAATAAATAATTTAGAAATTAGTTTGCCAATGTAAGGATCAAATTTGACTTGGTACTGTTAATTTTCTTACATAATTTATTTTTATTATATTATTAACTTAAATAATATTCATGATCACAATATATATACTTAAAAAAATAAATAAGAGTATCTGATTTATTGATTTAGATTATTTAAAATTTAAATAGTCCCAAATTATTTAAAAAACTGGGTTAAATTGAAACTTGAAGTTTGACAGGTAAAACAGTATCTCACTTGACACTTGACAGTTGGGCAAGCACATGGTGTTTAATTCTGTGTTTTATTTTTGAAACGCATTGAAATTGTTTAATAGTTAATGTTATTTATTAATTAATTATAAAAAATGGGTAAAAAAGGCAAGGATAAAAAAAAGATAAAAGGAGCCGAGAAAACGGCTATGAAAACAGAGAAAAAAATCATCAATAAACAGAAAAAACAATTAGCAGCCTTAGGAGAGGTTAGGTTATGCCCACAACTTTATTTTAATAAAATTAATTTAATCTTAAATAATTTCAAAAATGATTTGTTTTAAAGGATGATATTGAAACTATTATTGCCCAAATTGAAAAAGAAGAAGCAAAACGATTGGAAGTAACAGAAACAATAGTACCTCCACCATCGCCAAGAGTTAATTTTAGTATTGTAGCTTTACCTGATAAAGATGAAATATTAATTTTTGGTGGTGAATATTTCAATGGCCAAAAGGTAAATATATAATTTATCTCTCTACTTAATATTTGATTTTTCCATACAAATTATATTTTTCTTCTTGAACCACACATATAATACCAGTTCTTTCTTGTAGACCATGGTTTATAACGACATGTATGTTTACAATGTAAACAGCAGTGAATGGAAATTAGTCAAAGTACCAGGTGGTCCTCCACCACGTTGTGGTCATCAAATGGTTTCTATTGCAAGTGATGGAGGACAGTTATGGTTATTTGGAGGAGAATATGCTAGTCCTACGCAAAGTCAATTCTATCACTATAGAGATTTATGGGTTTATCGTATCAGCACTAAACGCTGGGAAAAAATTAATCGTAGTGGTGCACCATCTGCTAGAAGTGGACATAGAATGGTAAAAGAAACATCTAATAAAATATAATATATCATCTGATATAATTTAATTTATTTTTGTTGATTTGTATGTTTTTTTTTTAAAGCTTGCTCATAAGAAGAAACTATTTATATTTGGAGGATTTCATGATAATCTTAGAGATTACAAATATTTTAATGATTTACATATATTTTCATTAGAAGATTATGTATGGACGAAAGTTGAGCCAGGTGGTATAGGTCCCTCACCTAGATCTGGTTCTTGTTTTGTTGTTGGTAGCCAAGATCGTCTTATTGTTTGGGGTGGTTACAGTAAAACTGTAATAAAAAAGGGAGTGGATAAAGGAACCACCCATACTGACATGTTTGCATTATGTGCTGATAGTAAGAATACTTTTATAATGAAATACCACATGATTTAATCATAATACTTACTTTTTGTTTTGATTTAAAGAACATAGTACTAATGCAAATGCTTACAAATGGGTATCAATTAAACCTGGAGGCATACGTCCCGGTCCTAGAAGTGGTATGTCCGCTTGTACTAGTGCTACTGGTAACTTGCGAGCCTACATATTTGGTGGTGTTACTGATGTTGAGGAAACAGAAGATGAATTGCAAGGCTCATTTAATGATGATTTACTTCATCTGGATCTTGAGAATATTTTTTGGAATAAAGTGCAACTAAGTGGTAAGTAATGTCTTAATAAATGTAAATATGTCTTTTTATTTTTGATTATATGTAATATTGTTTCCAGGTAACAAAGAGATTAAAAAATCTGAAAGTTTGGAAAATACTCAGGCTCCGCAACAAGACACAAATTTGGACAACATTGAGACTGCAGTACAACAAACAACTGGTTAATAAAAAATAGTTACATTTAACCAAAAATATTATAAATACTAATATCGACATTGTTTATTTCATATTTGTAGTTTCCACCGATGGCGTATTCAAAATGGTTATTGGAGGAAGTGTGTCAAGCACAAGTAGTTCTGTTACTAAAAGCACTGTGGAAGTACGAGATGAAAATTGGCCTAGAGCAAGAATGAATGCTGGTTTAGTGATATGCAGAGGACAATTATATCTTTATGGAGGACTATTTGAGATAGGTTCCAAACAAATAACTTTATCTGATTTATATTCTTTAGATATTCGTAAAATGGACAAATGGAAAGTTTTAATTCCTTGTGATATTTCAAAATCTGAATGGTTTGGGTCTGATTCAGAATCGAGCAATGATGAGTGTGAGAGTATGTCTGAGGATGATGATTTGGAAACTAGTTCAGATTCAGATGTTGAACTTAATTAGTTAATATCTTTATATGTAATATTGAAAAAAAAACAAATAAATAAAATATTAAATATTTCTAAAATGACTAATTAATAAACTTTAATACTATGTGATATTTAAAATTCTAAAGTGCGGCCAAAATTCGAGATTTAATTTGGTCTAATATATACATTAAAATATTAGTAAAAAAATTGATTTATTCTTCTACAAAGAAATAAATTAGTCAATTTATGTATTTTAATATTCTGATTTTTTTAAACTGAATATTATGTATATTTTACAAAATATGTAAGTTATGAATCAATATATTTCATACCGCAGTAAATCCTGTAATTTTGTCTGAAAAAAAGAACACTTGTAATATTTTTTTACTTGAAATTAACGTGGTTTAAAAGCACATCTGCATTGCACTTACTTAAATTATTATTTATTATAATTATTGCTAAAAGATAAAATAGGAAGGTTAATTTGCCTTGCCAAATCATAAAATTTGTTAATACACAATTTCGAAGGCGCAACTAATTAGTTTAACATATTGTTATCGAAAATATTTTTATAAATATATTTCTATTTCATTTATTTGTCACGGACTGATTACGCCTTAAAATCGGCATTCCCAAATTTATGCTTCATGGTGCCTAAAATGTGTCATCGTAAATTCGTTCAAATTTTATTTGTACTTCGCCGTGTTTTGTATTTACCGGTCGTAAAATAAAAATAATAGTTTGCCTTTTGCAAATTTACTGTTATTTTATAGATAGGCACTTACTATAAAATTTCTTAACGGATAATTAATAATAAAAGTGATTTCTCCTAGTGAAACTCATCTATAAATAATTTATAACGTTATACGCGAATGCGATGATTATTACGTTATTTGTGCAAATAATCATGTTTGAAGAATTTTCTTGCATTAGCTGTTGTGCAAGGAAAAGAAATAGCTGATACTTTCTTTCGTCCGTAGAAGTAATAATTTTCTTAAAACATCGGTTTGTAGATTGTAATTTTAAAATTATGAAATGTATGCAAAAGGCTCAATTTATATACCAATTTAAAGGCCTGTACGAAAAAACCGATACGCTAATTTTCAACTTTCTTCCTCATTATATGGCCGAGATTTCATTTCTAATCATTTGCTTAATTAACGGAGGTTAAAATCGATTAATTTTCTTTCAATTCATTAGATATTGCCAATAATAGGCATGAAGCACCGGGACCGTTATTAATGTTTGTTCATGCTTATTAATTCATATTATTATTACTCATTACTATGTTCTATAAGAGTATTATAATTACTGCAATCTACTAATATAAGTAAGGAAGACAGTATATAAAAATTTGCGCATTTGTACACAATAACTCTGCATAAACTATTTACATATCAGACTTTGAAATTAAAAATATTTGCCCTTCTATAACAGAAATCGCAAGGTCTGATATCTATTATTATGCCGAAATTATAAAGGAAAGCAAAGTAGAATTGCTTATTTTATATTGTCACGGTTAGACTACATTAATAGAACTAATAATTATGATATGACGAGGCCATTGAAAGTTATAGATTTGATATCATATTTATTAATAATAAAAAATATGTGCGTCGCGCTGTTACAAGCACGTAAGAGTTCTTATGTTCATCGGTAATAGTTTCTCTCAGAGCTATTTTATACATGCTGCTTATTATTACTTTTATTTCCCGAAGGTGAATGACTTTAATAAAACATTTCTCAATATATGCAGATAAATTGAATTAAAAATCGTGATTTACTATTAAGAACAGTATATTTTTGCCAGTAATATATGTACAGATAGTCTTACTTATTGTAGCCTGATAGAATTAACTAAAAATAATTTTACATGGTTTTAATAGTTTCATATAATGATACATTATAAACTCACAAAAAATATATAAATAATGGTAACATTAGGTAACTTCTGTTAATGCTTTGTAATAACAATATTAATGTAACAAATTATTAAGGATCTGTAAAAAGTCTTTATAGCATTAGTAATCGGTTTATTAGTATAGAATTAGTAATCGATTATTTACGAATAATTCTATAATATATATACTAATAATAGTAGGAACAAAATCAAACATTTTCGGATATAAAAAATAGCAAAATGAGCGAATAATCAGATGAAATCATGAAATTAAAACACGGGTTTTGACCTAATCTATGCTTATAACTATATAACATTGTAATAGCTTATTGTTGCGACATCAAAAAATAATTGCTCATTTGATGTTGTTATTCGTATAAAATTAGATAAGTTTCTTAAATAATTAGGTAACTGAAACAAAGCATATTTACAAAGAATTGTACAATTTTTAATGGGCGTTTGCGCAATTTGTTACGCCAAGATTATTATCTATAATCCAGTAATCTCAACTTCGTCATTTTCTTCATGCTTGGGATCCGAGCTTCCTGATCTTGAATTTCGTCCTACAGAACTGGCCACAGTTCCGCACGAACTACCGGCATACGCATCCAGTTTATTTTTCTCTGCCTCAGCCTGTTCTTTGGCATATGTACTATCTGCATAGGCGTGAAAACAACTCCTGACCAGAGCATTGGCTGCAATCTCCTTTTTGCAAATAAATGCATGGCATTCCAAAACTCTAATTCCCGAAGTTCTCCTTAAAATCGCTGCGAACAAAGGTGGATGCTTTACCTTACTGGGTGTCCTTGCTAGAGGTGAATCTAGTGGTAGAAAATTTGGTTGGTTTTGGCGCTGTTTTTTGACAAACCGTACTGCTGCGCAATAATGGAGGGTGTCTATGGGGAAAAATCGAGTTATGTGCCTTCGATTTTCGTCGATGTTTTCGATTAGGATTCCATTTGACCAGACGCTAAGCCAAGAGTCGATTCCTGCAGGGCTTTCTGAAGGATAAATGTTATTTAACGGATCCTGTATGCCTTGAAGGCCGTCTTTGCTTTGACTTGGTACTGCGCTACCTAAGTATAAAACGCGGCAGCGACATATTGGGGTTGACTCTTCTTCCATTGTGAAAAACTTATGTTATTCTTATAACTAGAACGAATCAATTTTATAGAAACTATTTTTCAGTGGAAATAATGCAATTTTATCGAATGTTAATATTACATCTTCATAAATTTGCATAATAAACTAACACAAACATATTATAATATTCTTCAGTTAGGTTTATTTTAAAAGCACAACTCACTAATTGTTATTCCAAATACTTTTGTTAGATTATTGCATATTAGTTTCATGCACCAAACTTTTCACAAGCACAAAAATCGCAAAAAATCGCTGAATGAAAATTTGAACACTATTGTTGAACAGATATAAATAAGAGTAATTTTTCGGAGCAAAACAAATTGGTTTCACTAAATTATCATTCCCCAGCATCGAATGCAAAAAGTGCACTGAAATAAACAGTCGTCAACCTGTTCTGGTAGTCGGCCTTGCGCGGAGTGGCAGTCGATACTTCTACTTCGCATCAACCGCAGAACCGCAGGTTGTTTTCTTGGGGCCTTTCTCTTTTCGACTCGGCAGCCATAACGGATCTCTTCTCTTTAACACTTTATTATTACGCTAAAGAATGCGGACGAACGATTATCATTTATTATTAAATATGACCGATACAAAACGCGCAGATTAAGAGCTGCTGCCGAATGTTCTCAATAAGGGATAAATTTGATTGGGAATAATAATTCTCAATAATTATTTATTTGGAATAACAATAAGTAGTTTTGATGATTTTAAAAATAATGTATATGTGCACAATGTCTCTGTAAAAGGAAACTAAAAATATGAAAATACCATAATATAGAATTTAAATCACTACTAAATTTTTAATGATAATAATAATATTCGTTTCGTTTTAACCGGTTTTCAAATTTTATATAGAAAATAAATTTTTGCTCAAATATTCTGTAATTTATCCGCACATTTAGTGTAATTTGACTGAATTTATTTATTGTTCAATTTTATAGATAGTAAACAAAATTATTTTAATTTTAATTAGTATAACTAAAAAATAATAGTTTATTTTAATTAAATAACTTTGAAAATAATTAATCGTTACTCATGCATCATTTTTACATATAAGAATGAAAATATTTTTATGATAGTGAAAGGAAAGTTTTCAAATAAATAAAAATAATATATTTTTAAATAAAAAAAATGCATTAGATTAAAAAAAATAATGTATATTAAGGTAATACTTGTTAATATCAATTTTAGTTTTAAAAATAATTAAGCAAAACTCGGGTATTGTCTTCCGAACAATTTTAATTAATTAACTTTAAACATTCTAATTGTTTTTTTGTTTAATAAAATATGATTTTAAAAATATACTCTCATAATATATAATACTCTATAAACCTCTCATACTTGCAACTAAATTATGCTTAATTGTTTTTAAAGCCTGATATAATAATTCTAAGTTTTTTGTTCGTTAATTTGTGACTTTTTTTTTATTTTGAGTAGAGGAAGCTACTTCTTCAAGAAGTCACACTGGTTTAAATTACTATATACAGTGGTATAAAAATCTACATTAATATATACAAAACGTTTCAGGGAAACATTGCAGACTGATAAGATATCAAATGCTATTGAACCGATATGATTTCAAGAATCAAAACGCTTTCATCTTTTATATTTGGCTATATTTGTCATTTTCCATTTATACAGTGAAAACCGACTTTTTTCACTAAAAAAACGGTTTTTGAATTTCATAATTTTCGCCAAAAAAACGGTTTTTAAAACCGATTTTTGAAAACCGACAAACCCTAGTGTTAACATGCAACGCCATGGAAAACTTTTAGAAGATAATTGTTATTCAATAAAATTTTATTATTTCAAATAAAAAATAACATCTATAAAATTGATCAAAAATCGATGGTGGTTTACAAGATTTGATTTTAATTACAAAGATAACAGAAGTTTTTCATAATGAAAGAAAGGTCAAATACCTTATGTCGCTACCATGGCAGTACCAAGTCGAGGCAAAGATGGTCTCAAAGCACACAGGATCCTTATATATG